GATTGAAGAGTATAGATGACTCGCACTGCACTGGAAGTGTCATGTCGAGGATGTGTGTGTGTGTGTATGTGTGTCTGTGTAGGTGTGTCTGTGTGTGTTTGGGGGTGGGAGTAGATATTGGCATCTGTACACCTATTTGATCGTACCATCACATGCATGGTGTGGTACTTTGTATTTCGCAGCCTTTCGCTAGGCATAGACGTAGCCTGCCAGGCTCTGCTATCTCGGGTCTCACTGTACCAGCACCTCCTATCTTTCTTTTCGTCACGTTAATCCAAATTGTCTAGGGATTGCAGCTCGGTGCCTGCTGTAAAGCCAGAGATAAACCCCCTGAAAGTTCCATGGACCATCTTGATCTACATTGCACACCACTGATTTATAGTAGCAGAACACAAACGTATTGTCCAGTGCTACAACATTAATTTTAGATTGCCATTGGGGAACTGGGTATTTCGACTCCTGCGTGCTTTCTGCGGATCTACATTTTTCAAAGGAATATTCTCCACCATTTGTATACATAATAATACTGCAATCAGTTTGAACAATGCCCAGGATTGTTCCTTCTACTCTAGGCAGCAAAGATTGGCAGCGTTTTCGAGGTGTAGGCCATTAATCATTTGGTAGTGAGTTCATGAGACAAACTGTCCTATGCCAAACATACTATTACACACATCATTAATGGCTTTAGTTTGGGCTGATCCCCGCCCCTAGATGAGAACGTTTTCCGACCCATCTTTTGTGTGCATCAACCATCGGGCCAGTGGGTTTGGCCAAAGGCAAAGACTCTCGAAAGAGTCCTGTACGCTTACGACACAACAATCATCAATAGCGAAAACCCTGAATTACGAGTACACTAGTGTAGGAAGAGAAAGACACAGGCAATCATGAATGCACGTCAATGTACATTCTCAGAATTCCGACAAGGCTTCGGCGATTCGACGAATGTCACTCTGAATTTACGTGTAGTGAGTCTCTCCCCGACAGACGAGACCTACAGAGAGCTTTTCTTTCCGTGATTTTATCTAGGTACAAGTGGGAAGCTGTGAAACTCACTTGCTAAAAGTCGTCCTTTTCGATCCCGGTATCATATCTACACTTCACCCCGCAAGGGAATAAAGACCCGATCCGAGAGATATGCTACGATGGTTCCTCACCAGAATTCAAATGCCGGTGTTACTTGTATTATGGATTTATCAACAGGGCGAATACGAGGTGTTTGTCACGCTTGAAACTGAGTGTCACTTTAGGGTGGTAACCCCACACATAGCGATGTTTGAGCTGTGGAGGGATATAACTTACTTACGGCACTCTTTTAACACATTTCATTAGCCTACTCGATCAAGTAATAGTTGAACTTCAAGATGAGGGATGAATCCCCGGAGACACGGTGTATGGATAGTCGTGCTTCTTGCCGGTTTGTTTAGTGCATTAGAAGGTTGGACGTGCCTGCTGTGTGCTTCAGACGGAAGTCAGGAGTCAGTCAAGTGTCGGAGTTCCAACGTTAAGAGCAGCCAACGTCTTCGGATATTACCGACGAAATCGCAATTTGTAAGGCAGGTACGGCCAGCAGTTAGTTCTGCAAAAGCATGTATTTCTGTGATAGGAGCTTGCCGTTGTACGTGAAGAACTTGTGATACATGGATGTGTTTGCGTTGTGGCGAGTTTGTTGGACTCGGTGTCTTCTCCGTAGATCTACGTATGTCTTCTATGTACGAGTATAATGGTGTTCCCTCTTCGAAAGCAGGGCACAACTGATTTTCGTTCCTTCGTGTGCTAGCGGACCCCAGCGGGTTTGCGTTCGATGAACCAGCTCAACCTGCTCTGTCATTCGGGTCGTCGCTTCGTTCGCGCGATTACGGCGTGGATCGTCGATCTGAGCTGAGTCTGTTGGCACCCTGACTGCATGCTGCCTGCCAAATTCTAGAATCTTCTTGTGTCTGCAGGCTGCATCTAGTGCACGCTAGCAGACGAGGAAATATACTCAACCAGGTGATTATTGTTGTCTCGCGATCTTTGTTATTCACTAGCACTGCATGCACAGACATCACGCACTGTGTCACGTTCTACCGACGTGTCTGTCGCTGATCGGCCTATTCCAAAGTTCACACCAGACCGCGATGACTCAAATGAGCGACGGGCCGCTGCAGCGCTGGACGGTTCCGAGAATCCTAGGGTTGTGAGGTCAAAGTTCACGCTCGAAGAATGCTAGCAGCTGCATCCGCTCGTAAGCGAGGCCGGGGGTGGAATAAACGTGCAGATCAAGAACATGTTCCATTCGTTGTTGTTGTTTGGAAGGAAGCGCATGTCCTTCTTCTCCGGTTGCTTTCTTTGAGGCCAATCCGAAACACTGTGAAGCCGGATAGCATTTGGTAGATGTGTAAAGAGTAAAGATGGGATGCCGTCGGGAGGCCTATTGTGAGGAATTCCAGCTATTGTGGGCAGGTTTCTCAACTGCAGAACCACGGCAAGCAAAGAAGGTAAATCTTGGCATTCATCTCCGTCATCATAATCATATAATTATTATCTTATTCCTCGGCGAACCTCTTTTACATGTTATAGGAATATTCCTGCCAGCATAATAATTATAACATCGCTTCTTCGTCTTGGTTCGCTGTGAACTTGAAATGCTGCCCTGTATATAATTATGTAATGGTTCTTCTCTTTCTCTTTGCAGCCAAGGAGTTCATCTAGGAGCTTGTTGCGCATGCGCAGTATAATGGCGGCAAACTGGCGTCTTCCTTTTACATTTCCCACGAGGTGAGCATTTCCTTGGTCGACGATCTCTTTCATGTCATTAGGGGATTATAATAATAATAATAATCTTTATTTCAGGATTACTGGGGGATCTGCTATTTGTTATGGTGTCCTTGTTGACCACCTTCTTGAACCGTGAATACGGGACTACTCCTCTTTGTTCCTTACACTAGCCAGCTATAGGGTGTGCGGATTCTGCTCGAAAAGGTGGCAGATTCTGCTCGAAAAGCAATGAAATTGGCAGAACCATACAAACCTTGTGGCGGATTCTGCTCCATTTCTTTATGAACATACCAAACATGCATGAAACTTACCAGAAAAATACAGAATTCTGCCAATTTTTCTGCCGGCATTATCCGCATATGCCTAGCCAGCTTTCGTTTCTCGTAAAAAGCACAAAACTACCTACTGAAGTACTTACGAGGGTTCTTTCTGTTGTTTTGCAGGGAACGTGATGTGTTGAACCGCTAGCCATTGCGGACACCGGGTTTGCCCTCCGGGTGCGCTACTCGTATCAGATTGTCATTCACAAACACCTGCTACGCTCTCGTACCGTCCGGATGTTTTGCGGCCAGCACCTTCGGAGCTCAAGATATCCATCGTTGAAAGAAGTGTTCTTCTTTCGCTCAGGTACAGTACATTTGTTGGATCAGTTTTACTTCAATGACTTTGTCCTTGTTATCACATTAGGATCCGAGCTGTGGAGCTGTAGTTTGCATGAACCTTTGTTCAATCCCATCATTTTTCCACTGGAAGATAGCACAGGATGCGCGCCTATAACTCACTTCACGCAGGTGATTCTCGGCGATTTTAGTCGAGGATTGCTTCACACCAAAAAGACTCGAATTGTTTTGATTAGATCGTGGCACTATTTCTCCGTAACGGTATGACGTTTCATGCATCGCGGTGAGAGCTATCTGTCCATACAACTAATGTAGGTCCTGTGGAACGGGGGAAGGTGATTATTCCGCCTGGTGTTGCATGGTATGTTAAAGGGGAAGTTAAGGCAAAAATTAAAATTTCACCAGTTTTAGTCTTCGGGGTGCTGAGTCGAATGGTCTTGGTCCGAGAAAGCTGACACGCTCCCTTCCTACTTGAATCCCAATAGAACTTGCGCACTTCCACCGAAACTGGGTGACTGCGCCCTACTATATGTGGATTTGTATGCAAAATGTCACTAAAAGCGCCATTTCGTTCTTAAAAAAGCACGGATGACCGCGATTGGCCCATATGTTGTAGTCTTTTGGACGCTGAGTCGACTGGTTTTGGTCCGAAAAGGCTGCGATGCAGCGTTCCTCCTTTATTCCCAATCGAACATGGTTGAACAAGCGGTCACGTGCTCCTGGGTGCCCAAATCACCTGGTCACCACGCCAGCAGGCGACAACTTTCACACCAAGGTTCAACTCGAGTTCAACTCGAGTGACAGGACTGCACCCAAAAAAGGTCAAACAGGCTAGTAAGTTGTACCCTGCAGGCACGGTGACCAGGTGACTGGTGTACGCAGGAGCACTTGACCGCTTGTTCAACCATGTTCGATTGGGAATAAAGGAGGAACGCTGCATCGCAGCCTTTTCGGACCAAAACCAGTCGACTCAGCGTCCAAAAGACTACAACATATGGGCCAATCGCGGTCATCCGTACTGTTATAAGAACGAAATGGCGCTTTTAGTGACATTTTGCATACAAATCCCCATCTAGTAGGGCGCAGTCACCCAGTTTCGGTGGAAGTGCGCGAGTTCGATTGGGATTCAAGTAGGAAGAAAGCGTCTCAGCTTTCTCGGACCAAGACCATTCGACTCAGCACACCGAAGACTACAACTGGTGAAATTTTAATTTTTGCCTTAACTTCCCCTTTAAACAGTTTGGGTTCAATATACAGTCTTGTCCGGTGAAATCCGACTTCATGAATATAATAGCGTCTTGGGCTACGCGCCCTCCCATTTCACTCACAAGTACACGAATGCCCACTGGAGCTGAGCGCTACTTTATTCGTCTTGTCCGGTGAAATCCGACTTCATGAATATAATAGCGCCTTGGGCTACGCGGCCCTCGCGTTCACTCACAAGTACACGAATGCCCACTGGAGCTCAGCGCTACTTTATTCAAGAGATCGAATTTCTCTGGCCAGAGGTTGAGTTCTATTTTCAATTTAGATACGGATAATGACATAGATCAAAAGAAATCGGGAGCCTGCAAACAGTACTGTGCTAAATGTTTGCTTTTCTATAATTATCATTTTATGCTT